CAAAAAAGAAAGAAATAAAATGCCTAAAAAAGCATAAAAATATTTAAAAAAGCCCAGAAAAATTAAAAAAAAGTGCTTAAAAAAGCATAAAAATATTTTTAAAAGGCTCAAAATTAAAAAAAAAGCATTTGAAAAAAAATTAATATAATAAAAAAAAGCATTTGAAAAAAAAATGAAAACAAGTTGTAATAATAATATACTGTTATTTTTTTGATTATTTTACATTTAACACGTTCTATTTATTTTCAATATACTTCTTTAATATCAACAATGCTTAAAAGAAAATATAACCAAATGTTTCTCCAAATTTTCCGTAGTAAAATTATGTCTCCTGTCTCATAAAATATTTTTCTATGTAGAAAAACTTCGTTCTACATCTACACTGGTTATAAGTGCATATTTAAATTTTGGTATAATTGCTGGATCTATTTTATAATCGGAATTGGCGCACCATTCAAAATAGTAGATTCTTTTTGCAATGTTTGGAACCCTGTATTATTTGAAAGAGTCTGAACCAATTTTTCTTTTATAATTTGACCGATAGATCCTGGAATACTTTTGGCTGCAGGTTCAAAATTTTTAATAACCTTTATGGATTCCACTAACGGCAGCCGTTGTTTTGCCAACCGTGTTAAAATAGATTCTGGGGGTAACGGAATATCAGGACATCTTTCCTTAAAAAGTTAAAAAGTCAATCGAGCTTTGACAAAATATTTTTTTGCCATTTTTTATTCGTTTATTGAACAGCGGATACTGCAATCTTTATTCAAGACTCCTATAATCAAGTTGGCTACATATCTCCCACATGTGCCAGGTGTTTTATCTACAATAAACCATATATAATTATTTGCGATAATTTTCTTAATTTGCTGCATTGTTCCATCATAAATTGGACGGGCATAATTTTTACGAAGAGTACTCTCATCTGGAATGCTTTTTTACAATATTTTTCTAGAAATTGTCTAAACGAACTACTTTGTAATTTATTCATAGGAATGTCTGATTTAACCGTAGCACTACACAAATCAAAATAAAATTGTTTTTGTTCATTAAAACGATAATTTGAAGCTAGTGAAGTCAAAATAGTTTGTTGCTTATCTTGATTTTGCTCATATTTTTTTATATGCTCCTTATGCCGATCAGTTTTTAAATGCTGAGTTACGTCGTATTTTTTGTTACAAACAATCTGCAATAAAATAAGAAAATATTATCTACTCCTATTTTAAAATTTATTAAAACCTATTTTTTTATTTTGTACCTTGCAGTCGTTTAACTAATGTAAAAAAGGAAATCTCTTAAGAGTCAAAAAATTCAGAAAAATAAAATGATATTTTAAGAAGGAAACAATGACGAGAATAAGAATTTGCGAATTTTTACTTACAGTTTTAGAACATGCTTGACAAAAAATATTTTTATTGTCAATTTTTAGTTCTATGTGACCCTTAATCCACTCTTCAATCCAACGGTTGGCTTTTGTTTCGGCATTGGTTAAATAGTTACTACGTACAGCTAACTAAATCCAAGTACAGACAATGCAAACAAACTGGAGACCAGACCACCTCGTCGTAACTCACTAAATAAATAACAAAAGTCTTGGCAAGGCTAAACTTTGGGGAATTACCTACGTACGAACGGATTTTTCGGGGAATCACGCGACGCCTTGCAAAGTTGCCAAATTTACTTTATATTTACATTTATTCCCGTATAATGTTTCGTACTATTTCTAAAGTTTTTTATATATACGGAAAAAGTTGAAATAAGCAGGAAAGTAGAAAAAAGCATGAAAACTTAAAAAAAGCAAAAAAAAGTATAATAAAAGCTATCGCAATATACTTAGTTTGGTATAATTCGTATAGAAATTAAATATTCTTTTGGTTGCTTATAAAATTCAACTATAAGCAAAATGCTTAAAATCCGGTCTTTGATCATGATTAAGCACATGTTAAGTGATAAATCTTCCAGTAGTTGAAATCAGCTATTATTCCTAAAATATAAATATTGCCCATCTCCTAAACACAAATGATAGTATGCACACCAAAAAACTGCAGGTTCCGAAAAAATTAGCAGTAACTTGAACTACCACCTTACGGCGATTATTACTAATGTACTTTTAAAATTGTTCCGCTGATAGAACGTGACTGAGCGTCACTTGTTCCTTCTGTTTCAAAAGATTCGTTTATCGGCTTCGAAGATCTAAGCTACCGCTTGGCGGCCCAGACGGATTCCCTCGGCGAGTATACAGGCGACATCATCGAAGTTGCGAGGTTCTTTTACGGCAAATAATCGATCAAGAATTTAGTTGACAGTTACATACAACTCTGGCATTTTCAAGGAAATGCATTATTCATAGGAACGAAACTAGAAGAATCGGGAGAAGAGGTATAAGGATGTGTGTGTTGTCACAATCCATGATATAAATGCGGATACATATGGAAACTCTGGGACAAATGTCTGCTCTTTAGTATGCAAATTTATAAAGGGCCAGAATGCAGATAGTGGTAGATACATTTGTAAATGACATTTAACTTTTTTAATGTCTAGATTAGATCGCATAAACCAAACCCAAATCATTGACAAATATATGTTG